CGAAACTGAGGGTTCTGAGCGTGGTGGCACGCTTAGAGGTGGCCTCGGCCACGCCAGCCACCTGCGCCCTCCACCATCTCCCGTCTACTCGACTTTGTCTTGGCACCGGGCACAGGTGCGGGAGTGGGAAGGGGGTGCGATAGATCCTGTGCAAGTCTACTTTCATTATAATCCAGCTTATGTCACCGCGTCTGCCTTCAGCTCGCTGAAATTCGTGGTGGACATGGTCGAAAGCGACGATCGAGCTGTCACTCAGGCATGCACACTACCAGTAAGGTTTCTTACTCGTCATCATTTTTTCAGCTTGAAAAAATTCAACGAACCATCTCCCCCTCCCTCAACCCTACCCTCACAAATGTTGGTTCTGACTGGGCAAAATCCCATTCGGCAACTAAAAACTTTATGAGACGGAATTTGGATCTCCCACTAGAGCAGACAGCATTCACCTTTCAAGGTCATTGCGGAGTAGTAGACTAATATTGCTCCAGTAGCATTTTGAAAATTTTCTCTGAACTCGTAGGGCTCCAGTTCTGATGTCTTTCTAATGCGTACTGTCGATCAGATCCTTTCAGGAAAATGTAAAATTGTTTAAAAAACATTGGCTTTAGGAGTGACAGACAATAGTCGGGAATGTAAGGCACCTCAGCCGAACTCTTGGTGAAGAAACTGTTCAAAACAACGCAGTCTGCAGGATAGTCTTCTGATGGGGACGCGTACATTCGATCTGCTGGGATCTGCGTTCGATTTTCAGCTAGTATTCCAGATGTTTAATAGTCTATGTCATTCTCTATTGTAGGCACATTTTTCGACAGGAGTCAAGGCTAACAAAGTTAACCCTAACAGCTAAGATCTTCCAGACCAGTGGTTCCTTTAGGTGAGGAGAAAAGACGGTGAGAAAGCTAGATTGTTAGGGATAATGTATTCTGCAGAAGGATAGGAGAATAGATGGAAAGAGTTTTGACTCACGGACTAGTGCATCCGTGCCCTAGTCGGGTCGGATCCGGATTGACGACAGCGTTGGGAATAGCCAGTGCATGCTTTGTTACAGTAGCCAATCACTCGGCTGATGTCTAAACTAGCGGTGGGGCGCAACCTTGAGATGGGCGAAGGCTGGTGTGCACGCGCGGGCCTTGCAGTCCAAAGTCGTCATGAGTCAGCGGTTGATCTGGGGTTCCAAGTGGCTGCTAGAGTCCACTACACGTTTTCAGCAAGGCCGAGTTTATCAAACAACCTTGTCTGTGTAGCAAATTTCTTCTACGACAATGACAACGGATAAGTGAAATTCAACAGGAAGTTCCGTTTGTTTCGATTTGGTGAATCTTAGGGTGAGCGTCAGATCACAGGTTTAGAGTGAGGTTTGGTCGTTTTTCGTTATGGTTCCGCTAACTCCCAAATAGCGCCTCATTCGTCGGGACGCGCCCACACCTTCTAGTTTCATAAAGCGGAACTTCTCGCTATGGCTAACAACCGCGTGAACAGTGAGCCACTTGAGTTATCGTTCTTTGTCCCGCATCGAATTAACAATAACAATGGTCTCCCGTCTCCACATTCTGTCCTGGGAGTATGCCCGGACAAAGTTATTAGTCATGCAGGGCTGGCGCACGTGGCAAACATTCACGGTGACAGCAAGCCAAACTGGTGTGTAATCGTCACACCAAGAATCAACTCACTCGATTTTCTTCTTGATCGTGGGCCGACAAGCAATCACCCTATTAGCCACGACCCCCCATGAGGATGAACACAATACATAATAACTGTTAATTGTTGTGGGCTTGTGATCACCTGACTACTGCGTCCTATAAATACACCGCTCAGTGTGGCTCTCGGCGACTGTCTCGAATGGGAAGCCGAAACGTCAGGCCAGCCAACCTCTTGTTCCCGCGAGCGCATCTTCTTCTGACATGCTTCCTGGAGCTTTCCTGTCCGGCACTATCGATTATTTGTAACTTACCATACTAACAGCCTAGGTATTCTACAGCTGCTTGACACAGCTGCGAGGGGTCCGGCTCATCAGTGGGTACGCCAGCTTTCCCTATCTGCTGTCAGCGATCAGCGATCAGCAATTAATTTCTCAGGAGATTAAAAAGCTGAACTTTCAAACCGCTATGTCAACCAGAAAGCAGTTATGGAAAGTTGGGGGACCCACTGATGAGCCGGACCCCCTCACAGCTGTGTCAAGCAGCGGCAGAATACCGGCGAAACACGTGTCTG